TAGATGTAGATACAGATGTTTGTTTGGCCCAAAACGTCAAAAGTGAGCCTTTTTTTAGCGGCAGCAATTGCTTTTAGCTCTTGCAGCCAGACCTCCGCTTTCAAGTGAAGATCTAAATCGCTTTTTAGTTGAGTCCACTTTTCAACGACTTCTTCTTGGCAAATCTTTTTACTCTTTTTAGGATATGCCAGCACGTAGGCATCAAAAATACATTGGAACATTTTATTTTTATCCATCATTAACTGTCGATTTTTAAGCAGTATATATGAGATTATTAGATCTACCTTTCAATTGAAAATCCTCACACAGACAAAGTTGATTCAGCAAGACACGTGTAGGCCTATTTAAGTTGATCTAATAAACACGCATCACAAGCTGACCCTACACACATCCGCTTTTTTTGGCCGCACCTACAAAAATCACGTGATCTCGACCTTGGAACTGATCGTACTAGTAATTTTTCCACTAGATCGTTCAACAAGCATGAGCTATCGGCATGAACACCATGATGTAAGTGAGACAAGGCGTGTCATCAAGGGCAAGAGTCGCAGCCCTAAGTGTGAACATAAGTTTTTAAATAAAATATTCGGAAAACGGGGTTTAAAGTTTTATTATGACTGCCCTACTCTGTAAACTTCAAAGAATAGCAAGCATTACACTGATACCCATGCCTCACCCTCACTAGTTGATACGCTTCCGACCTTTATTCATATAGCAGTATTGACAAATTTGCATATACGGCAGTCTACTACACAACACACATCAAATTATAGGGCAATTTAATTAGAACAAATATATATTTCACAATCTTTTGACAACTTAGAAGTATCGCAACCAATGTAAAAAAATTATTTAGTATTTAGTATGTTTATTTTTCTAAAAACTAAAAAAATGCATGTTAATCAATTCGTGGAATTAAGACAACGTGACGTCACACTGTCTCTACCCCCCCCCCCCTCCCCCTCGTCACACATCGTCACAAAAGTCTGAACCCCCTCCCCCCCTAGGCGTGTGACGTCATTTATGGACGACCCCCTAAGAGCATTTGCATTCTGATTTAACTGTGTTCTACCTTGATTTTGTAGCTTTAAATCAAATACCCTTAAGAAACATGCTCCACAAAAACCGCTTTCCAGCTTTCCTAGATGGGGGGGGGGGGGCTTTCTCGAAGATTAAAATCGGAAAAAAAAAACTTACACTGGATTAGTCAGTAGATAACCGTTACTACTTAGAAAAGAAACCCATTGTACTAAAGCGTATTTTACAATTGTGTAACTTTAAAAAAGAGTTAGTGACGTTTAAAAATCCGCTCTACCAACTTTGTCCAAGATAGTGGGAAAGGGGAGGGGGGCGCTTTTTCACCAACAAAAACCGCAGGATTTGTACTGGATCGCTGAGTAGATACTTTTTTTAACACTTACAAAAGAAACCAATTGTATTAACGCTTAATTTTACCCAGTTTTGCTAAGCATTGACGCGATTAGTTCTTTGTACGATTCTTACGATTCTCTCAACTTCAAAGTGAGAGATCAGATACTTTTATTTGATTGCATTATATCTTACTTGGATCACTGCATTAAAGAGAAATAACTATCACAGATTCTTGTATCGCTATCCGATCAGTAAAATAGCCGACTGTCGGAGCGGGTGGGTGGAAAGCGAAACTCTTTGCCTAAATTAGTATATTGTACTGAATCGATCGTATTTTTATTGCTTGTTTCATTAAACTTTGTTCAACCTAACTGATAATTTAAAATTGTAATATCTAAATCTATAATAGGCCACGTTCGCACCTCTCTCTCTCTCTCTCTGTCTGTCCGCAAAATATTTTCGCCGGACATCACATCAGAATCTACAGCGATATATCGAGAACTTTTTACGGACTTTTGTTGAAAATAATATGTTAGATGTTTTAAATGTATAACCACAATTTTATTTAAAGAAGAAAAATAAAGGCGTATTCGAATATAGAGAAACAGTATTATTTATGCAACCGGAAAAGTGTATAAACTTGGGACAAGAACGCATTTAACAATGACGTCGCTTATTGTTTACACTAAAACACTAAAACAAGAGCACGAAACTGATGACGTCATCTTCCGAGTTAAGAATTTAAAAAATGAACTATTTCATTCAAATATGAATGCAGGCGCTTCAAATTTGGCAGGATTTTGCCTTGGGGCGACAGAACACGGGGGCCGGTGCCGGTTGGCCTAAAGGTCTACGATGAGGGGGTCAAAACAGACCTCGACTGACCGGCGCCTTATATGAGCTATAAATCGAAAAAAATTTGTCCACGTAGGAACCTCTTCATAACTCCTGAGGTCGTAGACCGACCCTCGGGCGAATTAATTAAGCATTCAAATTCTCAATGTTTTTGAAAGCCTAAGCGAAGCTGGGCAGCATGCCTAGTACTATAATAGAACCCCACCAGTTTTATATGCGCATACACCAAACCCTTTTTAATAGTTGTATCGTTTACACTGACAAAATCCGATCGTGAATCATTACAAGTCGGGTGTGTGTCCTGACCTGCGCCGAACCCCTGAGACTGACTTACCGAACCTCTTAGGTTCGATGGAACCTACTGTTCTAAACTATTTTGATTTTCTTCTTTTTATTCGTTTCGGTTTCCTAAGGAGCCTAGGCGTAGGCAACACTTTTTCAACTCATTTGATTTTTATGAAGATCGAACCCTAATAATCCAGCCTCCTCCTTCTCTATTTCAAACGATTTCCTTCAGGACTTATTTGGTCTTTTTCTCTTCCTCTTTCCCCATGGACTTCACACAACCACCTGCATAGTGGTGTTATTTTTTGTATTTCTCATATTGTGCTCTAACCACCACCTTTTTCTTTCTCCACTGTCTGTAACCTAGCTCCGAGCCATATAGTAAAAGATACATCATATTTAGCTATAGAACCTGATTGAATTTTTTGACAATGCATTTGAATTCCACATTGACTTAGAATGTTAATATAAATTTTATCGCTGCTGTTTGTAATCAAAACGTCATGGGCGGTGCCACTATCATTTAACCTGTTATTATAGCTTCTTCAACCAGTATAATTAGTTCTGCAATTTTGTTGTTGACTATGTCTGCGAAATCTGCTGTGTTCGTTGGATTCCAGCTTGTTTCCTCTAGCTTTTTTTCATTACAGAATCAACAGGTCAACGAAATACCAATATCGTATTCCAATGTGAAAAATAATTTTCTATTGTATGTCAACTGTATGACCTTAATCTAACAACTTATAATCCAACTAATACCATATCATAACAGAGACTGTTCCAACGATAAAACATAAAAATACTGTCCTAAACTAATCAGCACCTGCTACAAACTTCCCTCTAAACTCAGATGAGGTTTATTTTTTTTCTAATTTTTATCAACCATTTTTTTTAAGGATAATGCATCTTAAGTGGAATTTAATTGGTATCGAGTAAAGTTTTAGGGAACGACAATCATACATCGTAATTATTAATTTCTTTCAGGGCTGTCGCACATACATACATACACACACACACACACACACACACACACACACACACACACACACACACACACACACGCGCACGCACGCACAACACACACACAACTTAAAGTTCACCCTGGGCGCCGGGAGGGGTCGCTACACCTCTGCAGTGAGTTAAATAAAAACTTGTAAACAATGTCTAACATGCTGTCGTCTCTGACAGGCCGCCAGATACATTTTTAGAAAAAAAATTATTAAGTTATTTTACTTAGCCTCCATAAGAAAGTAAAGTCAAGCCAAATATTATTTTGAATTAAATTATACCCTATTTGAACCAATTCCATTGCTAAAAACAAAGAATTGTATCAAATATTTAAGGACTAAAATAGTTTTAATATAGAAACTCAATTATTTATCGTGTTTTTATTCTTGTTTTTCTTTTTAACTAATCAATTTTGGGTTGGCCTACTTTCCTCCGATAGCTGAAATCTAGTTTATCTAGAACTAGATAAATTGTTATAACAAACTTTTTACAAGCTTTTATTACAAGTTTTTATTTAACTCACTTCCTCGTCAGTCTGTCTGTCTCGATCGAAACGCCCGAGCGAAATTTCAGACACTTCTAGCCGACATTTTGTTTCAACGTTGGCACGTGGGTCAAGACATAACGACAATGCATCATGACATTCAATTCAATTTGACTTAATTGGTCGCCTGATTAATTTTTTATGAATTAATTAAAAATTTGACCAAATTAGTTGGCAGTTCTATCCAACTACTCCACACGCGTCATCACGTTCAATAGCGCGTCATCACGTTCAATAGGTGCGCAATGGTTTTTAGTAATGTAACTCTATTGCGATCGTTGACCAAAATAAACTCAAGGTTTTTATTTTATAAAACACATTCTGAGGCTTTTGAGAAATAGTGTGGACAAACCAGTGCTCCAGAAATTAAGATCTAAGAAATATATTGTCGATATAGGTTACATTTCAGTTACTCGAACTCGAGCTCTAAACAACTTAGAATTACAAATTTGGTAACTAGGATACCCGTGATGATATTGAAACAGTACCCTCACGTAGAAATTAGGGTTTATCGTTGGTATTAGTAAACTACTGGAAAATGTTCAGCCTTGAGATTTTCTTTGTTTTCTTTTTATTTCTCATGATTTGACAAGTACCATGCAAATATTTTTTGTTTACCCTAAACAAAAGTCTAAATTCTTAAATTTCACACTGGTTTCACTAGAATATGTGATTCACATTTTTGTTAAACATCTGTTTGCGTGAATTAGCGTGGTCGGATTTTAGAGCGATCAACTTCCGAAACTGAAGTCTCGAATTTCGATCCAGGGCACGAGTATTGGTGAGGTGCCTTTAAACCCAACATTTTGCAACCAGACATAACAAATGTGTCGTTATTAGTTTAAGAAAAAAATAGATCAAAGGAAACGTTTGTAAAGTAAAATATTCAGTAATAATATAATAAATTCAGTAATAAAATAAAAAACAAAACCCACAATTTTACGTTATAGTTTATAGAAATACTAGCCGTCAGTAGCAGTTACACGTATTAGGATATTCAAATAATACATTTGTAATTGTTATTGTATTGGACTTGAAATATATTATTATTATTATTTCTATACATTTATAATATAAAATATGTTATTTTATTGTTTTAAGTGGTCGCATCTTCATTTCAGTGAACGAAGCAGTGGCGTTCCATGTTGTCGTTGGTTGCCAGTTAAGACCCTTGCCAAATTCAGAGCTTCCCCAAAGTCCGTTCAGATTAGAGATGTGACAGTTGTTGTACCACCAGGCGCCGTGAAAAACCTCGGCGCAGTTTACGTTTTTTGCATCATTGTCCCTATCGAAAGTGCTAAATTTCATGTTGTTTTGTACATTTATCAGAGCATCCCCAGCGTTGCCTGAGTAACCGCTGACCTTTAACCTATAACCTTCCACCTCTCCGTACACACGAAACCTTAAATATTTAGCGAAGTAGTCCGTGTTGTTAAATTTAAAATCGACCCTCAGCTCGTAACGTCTTTGTGACGTCAGACGGTAAATGTTCTCGTTGCCCAGCCAAAATTCTCCGACACCCACATCCCCAAACCCATACTTGTAGTCCTCCCACCCCCGATAGAAATCTGTTTGTCCGTTGAATCTTCTCTGTATCACCGTCCATCCTCCCCCGTCTGTCTGTGTGTCACACATCACCTCAAGTCCACTTGACATGATGAACACTGGTCTGGGTGAAGAACTGACCACATCCCTGCATGTGTCGGGTGTATTACGGCATGATGGTTTTAAAGCTGCACTTGTTGAACTATTATTTTCGCCAGTGGCTACAAAAAAAAATGAAAAACATGTTGGCTAAAGATAACATTTGTCTTATATTTCTTTGCGTCAACTAATTTGCGCGTTGAAATCTAATAGTTATAATTTGAGAGCAGAATGACAATAAGGCAGATGTGTAGAGCTCAAGCGTTACCTCGGTATTTAACGGGTATTTCCCTCATCTCCATACCTATACGTATTTACTTTCACTGAGCTAGATACACTTTAACTCTGAGAATACTCCAAAATGATATTCTTAATTTTCGTTTTAATAGTCTAGAGTCTAGACGACAATCGCGCCGTTCCGACGATTTCATCAACTTCTTATGTTACAAAACCCCGCAAATAGCCTGCATTATTAATCATCTAGCTGTTTACAAACCTGAAATCATTTATTAAAGCTTGTAGCCTATTTAAACCATCAGCGAATCTACAAGTAAAATTTTCAAGTAAAATACAATTTCTAACTGTAAGTGTAGCGAAACATATTTAACTCACAAAATTAAATTCACCATGTAAATTAGTGATTTTCCAACTTAAAATTAGTTAAAACAAAATTAGTATTAGTAAATTAAAACTTTGAAATCAGCTAAACATCACTAACACTACATACGTGGTTTTTCAAGGTTGCATGCAAAAACTAACACGACCGTTAAACTCAAGGTGTACAAAAACGTGATGGTCATTCTCAGCTCCACAACAAAAAGATATCAGTTATTTTGACGTTCTGGGAATCTGTAAAATCAAGTTTGAACCCCAAGAGGAGTTTTTCAATAACACGCTATGATGTATCTAGCTCTATTTATAGATCTTCACGCGCTTGTAATTTCTCACCTGTTTTTATCCAGTAACCTAAATAAACATGGCCTGATAATGATACCACGTGTCACTACTATTTTACCTCATAAATTATACGACTGTTTATTTGTATTGTGGTCATGTTTCTGTAAGTCAAGTACCGATTTTTCATGAAACAGCTTCCCTTGTGATCAGGTAAAGTGTTTGCGATTCTAAGGCTTATTGCAGACTTCACACTTGCATTTAACTAGTTTTACGCTCCTGTATATGTTTTCCAATAAATGTTACAACCAGTGGCGTAGCTAGCGTAAGCAAGGCATATAGGTCCTAGGCATATAGGGGGCCTTTTACCCTTTCTAAAAGTGTTAAAACTTTTACATTGGAATTTTAATATTTGTATTATCAAAAATAATTTTAAAAAGAAAAGAGAAATCGATTTTCTTTTCTACTGTAGAAAAATTTTAAGTTCCCAAAAAGGCCACCAGACCTTTCTTACTGGGGATGTGGGGGGGGGGGGGGGGGGGTTGTACAGGGCCCATCGATATAAATAACAATATAGGCACTGTTGCTTGTCGGGCAAGCCGTTGAGAGAATTAGCCTATAAATAAACTTGAATATTGACTCTTTTGTGAGATTGGCATCCGGCACCCGCAAATTATATAACAGCCGTGGACAGTGTTTCCACAACAAGCTACGTCGAAAATGTGTCAATGTTTTTCTAATTTTAACCTTAATCACAATGTGTTTGTTTATCTAATTATTATTTATCTCCAATCTTAAAGATTTTTGTATGTCTGTCTTCTTGTCCTTTATGCATTAATACAAAAAGGATCCAATCGACAAGAAACATTGAGAAGTCTTTTAGAATAATTTAGACAAACCTCTACTGACCGTGAAATTTCCTACCACAACCCCACACACGAGGAGCAGTGCCTCCCCACTCCCTCGAAGAGAAGCGAGAAAGAAACTCTGACTCCTGCAAAGTTTTCTACCATTCCTTTTTTTTTCGTTCAGAAGGTGGCTCCTTGACTGCACAGGTGAATCAGTCGGCGCCCCGGGCTCCCCCGTCAGCACTACGGCGCGTACACATGCCCAAGGGATACGGAACGCTACTTTAATCAATGGCTAAATAAAATAAGGGGTGTCCTCCAGCCGCCTCGACAGTAGTATACAGTTGGGCGCCCTAAGTCTCTCCATTATGATGATGTTATGAAACAAGTTGTAGATATGCCCTTTGGGTTAGTAACTTGGCCATCCTAAGTATCGAACATACAGAAGCAGCTAAAATGGACTTCAAAGACCATATTAATCACTTTGAAAACTTATGAGAAAGAAAAAAACAACAAATCTAAATAAATCATGAGCAACTTTTTAAAATTTGTATCTGGTTAGTGTCTCCACAAGGTTCAATATCACCCGGTGCGTTAAGAAAGTGTCTAACCCCGTCTAACAATTTTGCATTTCTGGTGGAGTGTTACCATTTCTCCTTAATATTTTATTATTTTAACTGAATAAACCTTGAGGAGTTGGTTTTTTCTGGAGCCTTCCCCCCTTAAGCTAGAAGAAAGTATGACGAAATATTTTAAAAGGGCTTCATCAATGCGCTACAAATCCTATATTCTTAGACGCGTGACCAGAGGCGTATCCAGGTTTTCGTTGTAGGGGGAGCGAAAAGAGCAAAAAAAAGGCGCCGAATTTTTAACACGTTCTATATACGTGTAATATATATATATATATATATATATATATATATATATATATATATATATATATATATATATATATATAATTACTACTGTATGTCATTACTTCGCTATGATGTAAAATAAATTGAAAGTAGCACTCTGAAGAAATAAGAAAAAGCATACAATGTAGGCCGACAAAACAAAATACTTAAAAAAAACTTTTTAAAAAACCACGTTTTTCTTGTGGACTAAAAAGTAGAAAATAACTATTTACATACATTTGATGACAAAAAACGTGGGTACGTTCACCATCAAATTTCCCGACCCATCTGCCCGACCCACGTTTTTTGTCATCAAATGTATGTAAATAGTTATTTTCTACTTTTTAGTCCACAAGAAAAACGTGGTTTTTTAAAAAGTTTTTTTTAAGTATTTTATTTTCTCCTTTTTAGTCCGTTGCTACACATGAAAAACGTGGTTTTTAAAAAGTTTTTTATATAGTTTATTTTCTACTTTATCTAATCACTTGATTAAGTATGACTTGACTAAGTGTTTTTAAATACATGGACTAAAAAAATCTTGAGCGACCGATACGCTTTAAACAGAGAAAGGGTGTAATTTACGTTGCTGGCGTGGAGATCTACTCACGAATCACGTGATCAAATCTCCCATAAACAAACAAATAAACGCGAAGCTGAGTTAAGGAAAAACGTGTTTATGTGTATTTTAGCATGCCCAGCGTACCAACCGTGTCACCGTTAACAATGTGTTACCGTGTCCGTTCTCCTTTTTAGTCCGTTGCTACACATAAAAAACGTGGTTTTTTTAAAAAGTTTTTTTTAAGTATTTTATTTTCTCCTTTTTAGTCCGTTGCTACACATGAAAAACGTGGTTTTTAAAAAAGTGTTTATAAATACACGGACTAAAAATCTCGAGCGACCAGGATTCGAACCTGGGTTGTCGCGGCCAAAACGCGAAGTACTAACCACTATACGATCACGGCCAGCGCGCTCACATCGATTGGGGCCGAAGTAACTGTGTCAATAGGCCTCCAGTCTTGTCGGTATCTTTAGAAATCATGTCCTCAATTTTATGGTCCTTGGGGCGTAATTAAATTAAGCTAATTACGGTCACTAATTGCTAGTTTTTATGATTGCATCTGAAATTGTTAGGCGAAAGTAGCATGCATGCCAAATTTCAGGTCTCTAGAGCAATCAGAAGTGGGCTAATTTTCGATGTCAATTTTAACAACAAACATCCAAACAACCAAACAAACAAACGCGAAGCTGAGTTAAGAAAAACGTTTTAAAAATTGTATCAATCTTAAAAAAAAAAAAAAAAATTTACACACACTACAACCAAAAACAATGAACGTAACACAATCTGTTTTGTAATTCTTGTAAACAAATTTCTTACATAATAATTCCTCGGAAATTATTTAAGACAAGTGAAATAGGGGAAATAATCACTCTCTTAATATAAATATGTATATATCTACACATTTAATTATAAATGTCAAAACAAATGAATAATTACTTTAGAATATAATCAAATTGTTTAACACTAATCGTGTTTACAAAATGTTTTTGTCTATAATCATAATTTAATATATCGTCATCATAAATGCTAAAGTTTTACAGCATAATGAAAGTTTTTAAAATCAGAGTTGGTATAAAGTCACGCTTTTCGATGTAATAGAAAAACATTCGGAATAACTATTTAACTAAATATCGGTCTTTTAGTTCAGATCATATATTTTTAAATAACTACTGCTTCTTTTGTGTTCTTTAAAGATAATTTTTTAACATAGTGATAGGTAGGGGTTAGATCACTGTATTGATCACACACCTTTTTACTGGTAATTGCAAAAACAATATTCACAGTTTTACGTTTAAAAAGCTAATTTTTTTGGCGGCATGGTACTTTGGTACATCACTACGCGTTTTTCTACATGTACTTAACAGATCAGTTCGGGGTGCGTTGGGGGGTGGGGGGGGGGGGTGGGGGGTGGGTTCAACTTCATTCACCACTGTCCGGTCACTTTAGGTCAATTATCCAACCCGGTGTATACCTAGGTGTGACATTAATGTCGCTCTACACAATTGTGGTGGTGAGGTGTGTGTGTGTGGGGGGGGGGGGGGGGGAGAGATAACCAACTCAGAGTGAACATAGCGTCAGTTTTTAGATGACTGTTCTAAACATACATATATATTACACAAATATATATTACACAAATATATATTACAGAAATAGATTTAAACGAGCCGGCCCGCGGCATAACATACGCCGCTATTTAGTTGTTTCTAATTTTCAATAATTCATAATTTGTGAATTCGACAGTACCAACGCTGACACTGAAAATATTTCTTTAAAACACTATAAGTAGCTCGTTAAGGACCATAACCCCCCCCCTTCCTTCCCCCCCTCCCCCCCCTACGTTTAAAATAGTTGGCTCTGCTTGTAAACATTTAGAGTGAACACAGCTCACTAAAACCATGTAGGGGTGGGGAGGTAGGGAGAGCGTTTGCAGCTTGTTTTCTAACGGCTCGAAGAGGAGAATTATATATATAGATAAGTAGCAGTGGTATTATGACAATATTTTTTTACAGAGGGTCCATGGGGGAGGGGGGTTGTAACTGTTTCATATAATTTGTAATCGTAATCACTATCGCCCAAACTGTAAGAATACTACTACTTCATCGTGATGACGTTGACCTTGTCGAAATTTCCCCACCACTACGCAGTTTTACTCATCAGTGAATTTAAATAGAGGTGCCACATCAGTTGTATTTGTTTCTGTATTGTGATTTTTTAAAAATTAATCACACGATTCAAACTGTATATATAAAGTAATTATGTGTGAAGTTTTATGTATAACATTTTCTAATTCAATTATTCGTAAGCAAATACATTATACAGTTGCCTTAAACTTAATAACCCTCTTGCCAAGTGGTACTACCCGTAGAGGTTTTTTAAACATTGCAATGCATCGTAATGGTTATTTTTAGAATGGCAAACTGATGCAGCTGTTAATACGTGTTGTAAACGTAGACACTACTAGACTAGTACAAAAATGCTTAATTGCTGCATGAAAAGAAATCTTGTGATTTACATAGATGTGCCGACCAAAAATCTTTTTTTAACAAATATCATTGTTTAAAACTGAGTTTAAAAAGTTTCCAAAAAGGCGCCACTTTGCTGAAAATGGCGAGAGGGGGAGCGGCCGCTCCCCCTGCTCCACCCCCCTGCGTACGCTACTACGCGTGACCTTGTTTTCTAAAACTGAGTAATTTAACTGTAAACAATGCCTGCTTGACATGTCTTATATCATATTTGTCGCCCAGCACTCCCACCCCTCCCCCCTACAAAATAAAACAAAATAATTAAATATATAAGTAGGCGCGTCAAATTTGGCACGATGGTGCCTTGTGGCGATAGAACACGAGAGCCGGTGACGGTTCGCCGAAAAGTCTACGGGGAGGGGGTCAAAACTGACCTCGTCTGACCGGCGCCTTAAATGGGCTATATTACGGAAAAAAATTTCGTCCCCTTGAAATTTTGTGAGGTGGTAGGAGAACGCCTGGGGGAGTCACAAAAAACTCGCCATGTCCGGGAAAAATTGGGAAATGGGCCAAAACTGACCAGTCGTATTTCCCTGTATAATCTTTGTATTTTATGGGAAAAACAGAGGGTAATTTCAAAACGGATTTTAGGGCACTTATCCTCTTTACATCTGGCTAATTTTTGGCATGCTTATAGGTAAATGGCTTGGCCGTAGGGCAGACCTGTCGGTTTGACTCAAAGCCCTCGACGAGGGCTAAAAAGTGACCGCCAGTGAAATTCTCTTTATATGAGCTATATTACGAAAAAAAATTTCCTCCGACGACCTTATTGGTATTTTGTGAGGTGGTAGGAAAACGCCTTGAGGTGTCACAAAAAACTCGGCATATCTGGGAAAACTTCGTAAAGGGGTCAAAACTGACCAGTTGTATTTCCCTATATAATCTTTGTATTTTATGGGAAAAACAGAGGGCCATTTCAATGCAGACTTTAGGGTACTTAAACTCAGTATATCTAGCTAATTTTTTGCATACTCTTAGGTAAATGGCTTGACCTTTAAGGAAAACTGTCGGTTTGACTCAAAGCCCTCGACGAGGGCTAAAAAGTGACCGCGAGTGAAATTCTCTTTATATGAGCTATATTACGAAAAAAAATTTCCTCCGACGACCCCGCTTGAAATTTTGTGAGGCGGTAGGAGAACGCCTTGGGGTGTCATAAAAAACTCGGCATATCTGGGAAAACTTCGTAAAGGGGTCAAAACTGACCAGTTGTATTTCCTGATATAATCATTGTATTTTATGGGAAAAACAGAGGGTCATTTCAACGCAGACTTTAGGGTACTTAAACTCAGTATATCTGGCTACTTTTTTGCATACTCTTATGGCAATGGCTTGACCTTTAGGAAAAACAGTCGGTTTGACTCAAAGCCCTCGATGAGGGCTAAAAAGGGACCGCTAGGGAAATTCTCTTCATATGAGCTCTATTATGAAAATAAATTTCCGACAACGACCCCCCTCTTGAAATTTTGTGAGGTGGTAGGAGAACGCCTTAGGGTGTTACAAAAAAATCGCCATGT